TGCATTTATCTCCCTTTCCTTTAGCTTAATACCTGGTGATAAAATAGAAAGTGGATTCTAACTCGAAGTTCTCATTGTCCAGTCATCCATTCAAGCCACCTAGAGGTATTTATCCCACCTAGACTTCTGTACTCCTTCTCAGATATTCTGAATCAGAAACGATCATGAATCCTTACTTTTAAAAGCTCCCAGATAGGCTCTGTTCAGGCTCTAAGTCATGTCAGAAGTCGTGTCAGATACGGGGCTCATGAGTATGCCTAGTTTAGAAGGCGTTGCCCTTAAAATTCTAAAAGGTTATGAGCATTAATTAAAACCACCAATATAAAGACAATTCCAACATGGTATATGCTAACGCTCAGTTGTGTCCGACTCTTTGCGACCCATGGATTGTAGCCCACCAGGCTCCTCTGTCCATTGGAGTCTCCAGGCAAAAATAATGGAGTGGGTTGCGTTTCCTTCACCAGGGGATCTTCCCGATCTACAGACTGAACATGCTAAATGGTCACTCCCATGAGTATACATCGCGTTGGGAAAAAAGAACCCGTCCCGGTCTCCAGATTTATCTTTAATAGGAGCCCAGTCCAGCAGGTGGATGGCACTGTTGCATAACTAAGGAAACTGGCTCCCTCTGGTGTTCAGGGTCTGTCATGACTGCCTGATGGTGCAAAACAAGGTGTCAAGGTCGGGAACTTACAAAATTTCAGTTTTCATGTAAGAAGTCTCACAGCCAAATCACAGTGACCACAGTGGCTGCGGATCTCCTCGAGGGGAAACGGGATAGGAAAACCGACCCCCAGAACGCTATCTCTAAAGGCTTTAAAATGCAGCTCACCTGACAAGCCCATGTACACGCGTGGCTGGGCCCCTGCGCTGTCCGCCTGGAGCTACCCCAGCACTGTTCATTGGCTACTCTGGTATAAAGTAAAAAGCTTGAAATAAAATACAGCTCACCTCAGAATCCTGGGGAAAATACAAATTGTGGCCATGAATTTATATTTTTATCTACCTTTCCAGCAACCCAAGAAGACGATACACACACTAACGAGACTAGCAACTTACCCCCTAGAATCTGACCCAAACGTTCCTGTCTCTGCATGGGGATTCCCTTTAAAAAAATAATAATAATCGTTTATTTTTATTTCTTGATCACGGTGCAGCCACGTGGGCTCTTAGTTCCCTGACCCGGGACGGAACCCTGGCCCCTGCCCTGGAAGCACGGAGTCTTAACCCCTGGACCGCCAGAGAAATCCCGGGGACTCTCTCCCCAGCCCTGACTCCCGCGCTGACCTCCGGACCGTGCCGCAGCCCGCTTAACCTGCCCTCAGCAGAGCCCCTGGTGCTCCTCCCCAGACCTGCTCCTTCCTCCACAGATCCTACTGACTCTGCTTTCTAACTATACCCGTAGCCAGACCGTCTCTGCCAAGTCCGCCAGCAGCCCACCGTCAGTGTGATCCGAGCCGGAGGACTGGTCACCTTCTAGCTGGCGTGCCCACTTCCACCCCGACCGCCCTGGACTCCCTTTTCCGCAGAGAGGCCTTGCAACGATCCTAACTTGTGCTAAAGCACAAGTCATACCCGATCCCATTCACAACCTACAAATCCTTAACTGGGCTCCCCACGCCCTGCCTGGGGCTACAATTTGCTGCCCCGGTTCTGCCACGCTGGCTGCACTGGCTTTGTTATTGCTCCTTGAAATCTCAGGCCTCAGGCCTCAGCGAGTGTGGTTCCCTCGGCCTGGTCCGCCCGTCCCTGACGTGTGCACGACCCGACCCTCCCATCCACCCCCTGCCCCTGCCCAGACGTCACCCCCCGAGGAGGCGCGCCTGAGCACCAACAGACACAGCACTAGTTTCTTCCCCTCCAACCTTACGTCAGCATTTGTTTCCTCGTTCTTTATCATTAAGGGAGATGCTACCTTTTAAGCCGGAGGACAGTTGCTTTACGGTGCTGTTCGCTTCTGCCGTGTGATGATGTGAAGCGGCTGTATGTACACATATACCCCCAGCCTCTCTCCCACCCCACCCCCAATCAAGGCGACAGTGAAAGTCGTTCAGTCGTGTCCGACGCTGCAGCTCCACGGACGATATAGTCCGTGGGATTCTCTAGGCCAGAATACTGGAGTAAGGCAGCCTCTCCCTTCTCCAGTGGATCTTCTTGACCCAGGAATCGAACCGAGGTCTCCTGCACTGCAGGCGGATTCTTCACCAGCTGAGCTACCACGGAAGCCCAATCCAGGCGGCAGTTGATTTACTCACTGATGCGCTCCCAAGGTTTTGCGTAGGCTCTGGCACATAGTAGGTGATGCTCAGAAAATAGAGCTGAATGGACAGTTTAGTGGGTTTCTCAGTTCTCATTGACTTTTTCAAAGATGAGCCTCAAAGGGCTCCCGGTGATGCCCCACTATGGCAGGTCCACTCTGAGGAAGAAAATACAAGTCCATTGGAGACTAAACAAACTGAAAGAAAGCACCTCTAGGGCAGGCATCAGTCTTCTGTATATGCTGGTTCCACAGCTGAGGAGCCAACTAACCAACCAAACGGCAAAATATTTCAGTTCAGTTCAGTTCAGTCGCTCAGTCGGGTCTGACTCTTTGTGACCCCATGAATCGCAGCACGCCAGGCCTCCCTGTCCATCACCAACTCCTGGAGTTCACCCAAACCCGTGTCCATCAAGTCAGTGATGCCATCCAGCCATCTCATCCTCTGTTGTCCCCTCTTCCTCCTGCCTTCAGTCTTTCCCAGCATCAGGGTCTTTTCAAATGAGTCAGCTCTTTGCATCAGGTGGCCAAAGTATTGGAGTTTCAGCTNTGTACTCCTTTTCCTATTCAGAACCAGTCTGTTGTTCCATGTCCCGTTCTAACTGTTGCTTCCTGACCTGCATACAGATTTCTCAAGAGGCAGGTCAGGTGGTCTGATATTCCCATCTCTTGAAGAATTTCCCACAGTTTATTGTGATCCACACAGTCAAAGGTTTTGGCATAGCCAATAAAGTAGAAATAGATGTTTTTCTGGAACTCTCTTGCTTTTTCAATGATCCAGCGGATGTTGGCGATTTGATCTCTGGTTCCTCTGCCTTTTCTAAAACCAGCTTGAAAACACTCCAGAAAGTTCCAAAAAGCAAAACTTGAATTTCCTGCACACCTGGAAACTATTTAAATAGCATTTACACTTTATTTACAACTACTTATATTGTATTAGGTATTATAAGTAATCTAAGGGTGATTAAAGTATCCTGGAGCATGTGCATAGGAAATACACAAATACTATACACCACTGTACAGAAGGGACGTGAACATCCATGGATTTTGGTATTGTGGGGCTCGGGGCGGGGGTCAGTTCTGGAACCAATCATCCTGCAGATAGAAAGACTGACGCTTGGAGAGCTGTGAATGTAAACATATCTGGTGCAGAATTCACTCTATATACAGGCATACATATGTGCTAACTCACTGCAGCTGTGTCTGACTCTGCAGTCCTACGGACTGTAGCCTGCTGGACTTAAGCCGTTTTCCTGGGGCCTCCCAGGTGGTGCTAGTGGTAAAGAACCCGCCTGCCAGTGCAGAAGACATTAAGAGACATGGGTTCCATTCCTGGGTCAAGAAGATCCCCTAGAAGAGGGCATGGCAACCCAGTCCAGTATTCTTGCCTGGAGAATCAATCCCATGGACAAAGGAACCTGGTGGGCTACAGTCCATGGTGTCACAAAGAGTCAGACACAACTGAAATGACTTAACACAGCATAAGCTATTTTTTTCCGGTAGACTTTTTTCTTTCATGATGTCTCTATTGCTTTTTTTTTTTTTTTTGCCACACCAGGCAGCTTGCAGGATCCTAGTTCCCACACCAGGGACTAAACCCGGGCCCTCCGCCGTGAAAGACTGGAGTGCTAACCAAGGACCGCCAGGGAATTCCCTCAAGGACGTGTCCTTCCCCCTGTGGTTCAACTGGAAGCAAGTGCTTTTCTCTGTATTGAGTCTCTCTCTTTGGTGTTAAAGCAAGGCACTGGGATTTCTGACTTTGAGCAGCCCCAGAGGGTCCCACTTGAAAAGAGGTTGAAAGAAAGTTTAATCTTACAACCTCTTCTATAAACAATCTGAAAAAAATCAGTTAAGTCTCCTGCTTCTGGTGCTGTCCTTATGAGGTCATGCAGCATAGTGAAGGCAAAGCAGAACTTGGAAGTGAGGGAGATCTGGGGTCATTTCTGCTGTTGGTGTAACTGCACACAAGTTCACACAAGCCTGAGCTTGCACCACATTATTCACACTTTGCAACTTCGCTTTCCAAAAGTGAAAAGGACGCACCAGGCCCTTGGCAATGGAAAGAGAGAGTTTAAAAAAAAACAAACACCATCTGTTCCAGGGAATCACAGCAGGTCCCCAAAGCACACTCATGGGGAATCCATCCTTCACAGGGACCCCCAGCTTTCAGCCGATATGAACACTGTCTGCACACACTGAAGACCCCGCAACCTTTTCCTTCCAAAAGCCTCACTCTCCTGTTAATTCCACTTCAAAGGGACACGTTCCCACGCAGACTGGAAATGGGTCATAACAGCACCGCACTGTCCAACACGGCAGCCAGGAGCCATCCGACCCGCCCGCCGTTTGACAAGCGGCCACTGGGAACGCAGACGCAGCGTCCCAGCAAAATACAGACGGACTCTGAAGACCTGGTCTGAGAATATAATGTAAAGTGACATAAGTCAGACGGAGAAAGACAAACACTGTGGGACATCACTTAAGTCTGGGACCGAAAAGAGCAGAGCTGGTACAAACGGAACAGAACAGAGGTTATCAGGGCTGGGGGCGGCGCAGCAGGAGCGATGCGGTTTAAGGTCCAAACTCGCCGGTAGTAGAGAATCTGTCCCAAAGAGCAGCGCAGAGTACCGCGATGACAAACAACACTATATATAAAACATCAACCCGCCAAGAGACCCGTCTTAGCTCGGCCCCTGCCCCGGCGCCCCGACACCCCCGGCCCACACACACGGAATGGACATACCTCGGGGAGCTCGCGCGGGTCACCTGTTGGTAACACGGGCGAAGTGGAGGGCCGGAGCTACGCCATCACGTGAATGTCACCGCCTCTGTCCGCACGCGCTCACGAGCTCCCAGGAACGGCGCAGGGGCCGGAGCGGCTCTGAGGACCCACGGGCACCGAGGAGTGGGCAGGGTTGACGCGCAGAGGCCTGGCCTCGCCCGGCCGGGCCCGCACGGACGCACTCCCTCGGGATGCGGGCGCGCGCGCTCGCGGCGCGGGCATCTCTGGGGCGCGGCCGGGGTCCGGACGGAGCTCGGCCTCCGCGTAGAGTCCCCGCGGCCTGAACTTGAACCCCGACCCTTCCCGTGACCCGAGGGACCCTGCTAAGTCCCTGGGCGCCGCCGGGAACGCTTCGGACTCAGTTTTCTAGAATGGTGTTCACACGGTGGAAAATTACTCTTTCTTCTCAAATACCTTGTTGGTTCAGCGTTTGCAGAGCAAAAACTGCATAGGTTTTTGTCATTGAGAATCATTTTTAAAAACTACAAACACTTTTCCATAGTGTTTTAACTTCAATTGCAAAAAACAAATTATATTGTTTAACTTAACCCTAAGAAGTGTTCCAAAAGTAAATGCAGTGCAATCATTGGTGACAAATAACACCCAAGTGAGGATCGCAGAGTAGACGCCAGAGCTGCCGCTTGTGACGGGAGGAGCCGGTGTAACAGACCTGGTTGCTGGTCTCCGGGGCAGTCAGTGCGGACAGACTTCTGTCTTCACGGAACAGCTGAAACCCCGCCCCCGAACACAGTTCTTCGAATCTGAGTTCTTTTAGGTTTGCAGCTAAAGCTGACCTACGGGACTGTGCTCACCCTGCAGGGCGATGAAAGGAAACTGAAGGGGATGGAGGAGACCTAAAGCATGTACCTCCGGGCGGAAACAAAACTCACAGCAGATCCGTCGGAGTCCATGCTGCATGGGTCCCCTTGGTAGTGTTTCTTAGAAGACCTGGTCTCTGCCCTTCAACTAGTTCTAATGACAAACCACCGTTTTCTAAATGACTAGAGGTTCACCGAGCAGGAGACGGGAGGCGGAGCCATTGATTTGGTTCTAAAATGTGCTTTAAATCATGCTGCGTAAATAACAACAGTGCTAGGCTTCAGGCGAAAACGGTGGAAAATAAAGATTCCCTTTAGTTTCACCCTCCAGGTTAAATGAGAAGCGGGAACTCCTCTCTGCCGGCATACGGTCACGTGATTTGCTCTAGCTTCTAAATTTCCCGGATCCAGCAGTCTGTCCGGTCTTAAATTTTTAACCTGTTCCCCACCGGGACATCCAGCCTGATGTGAACATCTCTGGCAGATGCACAGGTAACCGGCCCCACGCTGCCCCTCACTCATGTAAACATCAACGCAAAGGAATGGGAGATTACTGCAGGAATAAACCCAGCACCTGCTCTAGGCTTTAAGAAAAAATGCCACACACACAACCACAAGCACCACTGTGTGAAAGGGAAGAGCAAATGTGAGTCCGTGTTGGAACAGTTTCCTTACCTTTAACCTCTGTGCTCTGTCTGTTGCTACCGAGAATGCCGGGGACCTCTCAGCAGTCCCGTGGTTGAGACCGAACTTCCCCTGCAGGGGGCGCAGGCTCCAGCCCTGCTGGGGCAGCGAAGATCCCCCATGCCCCCAAAGTGCGTTCAGAAAAAAAGGCTTGAGGCCTGAAATGCACAGCAGAGCGTTTTCAAGGCTCTGACCTTTAAAAGCGTAACACTTTTCTGTTCATATACAGAGGAAAAGCTGCAGAACACAAAGTAACATCCGTCGTGTTGGAGGTTTGTAAGAAGGTGGCGATGTGACAAGTGGACAGCACCCAGAGCAAAGGATGCAGACACCAAGAAGCTGCAACAACCCCCCCCACACCCCCTTCCCTTTTAGTACAAAAGCCGCCCGAGTTCTAACTCTGCTGGGCACGAGTCCACCATTTCTCGGTCTGCTGGCTTTCTGAAGAGTCACTATTGCTTTCCCCCAAAACTCCTCTCGATTTGCTGGCCTGTCGTGCCAGTGAGGAGTATGAGCTCGGACTGGCCGACAATCGCGACACGTTATCTGCAAGACCCCTGGCAAAGGACTCCGTCTGTGAAAGCTGAGAACAGCGGCGTCCCCACAAGCACCAACAGCGGGGCAGGATGGGCACCGTCAATGCCACCTGCAAATACTCCCCAGGAGGAGCTCCCATGTCGAGCTGCTAAAAACTGAGGTGAGCTGTTGCTTCTTTCAGGGATCAGCTAATGATCAGCAAAGGAAAAAAAGAGGCATAGTGGGCCCAAGGCTGAAAGAGTTTGCAGAAAAGCAGAAGGCATGTGAATGGAGGGTGATGTGTCAGGGTCAGCAGACGGGGGCACCTCTTTCTAAAAACTGAGCCAGAAATCAACCCCCAGAAATGACGTCCCTTGGAAACCCTTTCTTAGGTCAGAGATAGCTATTTTCACAGGATCTGTTTACTTACTAACTTCTCCTGGTCCTAACCTCTCATGAGATATAAACACATGTGAAGAATGGAAATGACGCGCTTGCTGCCACAGACCAGGCTAAGAGAGAAGAGAGTTTTGAGTTTTTATTCTAAATGAGCCACGGTTCAAAGTTCAGGTGCTGTTAAAAAAAAAAACCTTCACTCCACTGCCCAGACACAACACAGAATCAGTTTATTCCAATGAAGTACTCCCGCCAAACGAAAGCATGATGTGCACGTGTTTATTTGAATTATTCCTACTGAAGGTCCTTATTTCTGGAGAAGAGCCAGGCATCTTGTGATCCACTCCTTCCACTCTTTAAAGGCTTCCACAGGTTTTGGCAAAGTTACCAGCTCCTCACGACTGTGTTTTGGAGTAACTCTAGGAGTGTCGGTGGACTCGGCATCAATCCACCTGACCAGCGCCTGGAAAATCAGAGACACATCTTTGAACAAATCACAGCAGAAGAGACTCAGGCAAGAGAAAAACAGGATCTCCCAAATCATGGAATCTGCGTGGGTGACTGATGCCCCCCACAAAGATGTTCCACCTCATAGAGACGGCCGTGAAGGAGAGACCACGCTCGTCAAAGGGTGTGCACCAGAACCACGCCCACTGTGAGCACACGGGACAGTCACAGGACACACGGGAGAGGAGAGGAGAGAAGGGATGACATGGGTTTTTGAAGGTGGGAGAATGATTATTTTGTTTTCTCAACTTGCCAAGGGTTCCACGAGGCACTGCAGTGTGCGCATGGGGACGTGTACACACCTGAAGTGTGCACACTGGGCTGGCAGGCACGCACACGTGAAGACACATGTGCAGACAGGGACTGCAGTCACCCATGTGGGTGGCCATACCCACGCAGGTACGCGGCGTACACTGACATGTTTGTGGGCACCTGTGGATGTAGGGACATTCTTTCCTCCTCAACACCATCCCTTCCTCCTAATGAATATCACACTCCTGCCCCACATTTGGAAAGATAAACCACCTCCACATAGTTTTAGTTTTTTAGTTCTAGTTTTTAAACATGAATTTTGCTCTTCAGTATTTTACTCTGCTCTTCAAAGGCAAGCTCTCTGGCCCTAAACAAACAGCAAATGCAGAAACCTCTCCACCAAGTCTCAGTGGGGTCTAAGCATAAGGCAAGTCAAAGCTGTTGATATTTCTTTGCATTTTTTTTAAACCACAGCATCCTGCTTACCTCTGCACTAACTTCCTCTGATAAATCACCTCCAGAGAAGGGCCTAATAGAAAATGGTCGCTTGCTCCTTAAGTAACCACTTCCCCACTCACTTTGTACCGGTCTCTGAGCCGGAAGCCGACGGCACTCTGCAGCTTGCGTAAGCAGATGGGGCAGAGGTCCAGCGGGCGCCGGTCGGCTTCCTCCAGGTGGTTGGAGCCTTGCATCAGGCAGGCCAGCCACTGGCAGTGCCGGAGGCCAAAGATGTGTCCGATCTCGTGGGTCAGAGTCTGCAAGACAGCCACACGGAGGCGCCCACGTCAGCGGCAGCAAGGCGAGCTCGTCCAGGAGCAGATCCACAGAACCTGCTCCCCTCCGCTCGTCGCTAGGGCCTGCTCGCTGGGCCCTCACCTGCCCGAGTCTCCCGCCCTCCTCTCTGTGCACCTCCCCCGCGGACACCATGGGTCACTCCTTGGCGGGGCCGGAGGTTGGGGGGTGCCGCTACCCCCCGGGTGCCAGCAGCACCCCTCCCCAGCTGTGACAACCGGAAGTCTGCAGGCTTGTCCAACATGCCCAGGGTGGCAAACTCACCCTGGTGGAGACCATGGATCTAGACAGATACCCGCTGAAATTCAGTTCTGGCCCTTCCCCCAGATGCCGGGGCAGCAGGGGAGGGGAGGGGCTCGATCTGCATGACAAGTGGTCAAGGCAGGGAAGGCACAGCTGAGCCCCTACCCCAGGCCCCGCACAGTCAAGACTCTGCTCCAACCTTACAGCCAGCCTTCTGCACCCACGGGTCCCGGGCCACGCGGGATGGTGGTACTTATGGAGTCAGAGAGACACCTGTGTGAGTGGGCCCAAGAGGCTAAAAACCATGCTGCTTAAGGGTCAGTTGTACTTAGAAACCATCATTCCATCAGGTGTTGTTCTTGACCCCAACACACAGCCTGTGTCACTGGCCATGAAGCAGACAGACACAAGGAGACAGGCTTTCCAGAGCGGGGCGGGGAAGGCATCAGGAACAAGCAGCAGGACCATCAGCTGCAGGAGGTGGCCCAGGGGAGGGAAGTCTAGGGGAGGGAGCTGGCGGAGGCCCAAGGGAAGGCCTGTTCTCCAGGAAGGGAAACCAGGGTGCAGGGGTCCTGCAGGCTTGGGGGGCTGGTGGTGGGGCAGCCTGACTTGATGACCATGAATTCTGGAATTAAGCTAACAGTAATGAGGTAGGTACAGGTAAGGCTGTGTGTTACAGGACATAAAACAGGCCCAGATTCTGTACATGTCACTATGAGAGTGTCCCCATTTAAATTCTGTTTTTATCGATAACTTCAGTCAAGCGATATCCACCAAAAGTGTATTCACGACACCAAGTCACTGACAAGGTGACCTTCAGGATTGGGGGTATATAAAGTCAAGGACTCCGATCCCTTAAAAGCCACTGCTGATGCATCGCTTGAGCCACCCACCTTGCATGAGCGGAGCAGCAGAACACTGGAGACCTCAGGAAGGTAATAGTCGTCGAACACCGAGTAGTCACTCGAAGACTTCCTCTCCAGCTTCTTCACTTTGCCTTTGTAGTGTGAGCTATAGAAGTCCGTGCCGTACCTGGCAAAGCTGAATATGCCCACACCTGCGGGAAGGCGACAGGTCAGCCCAGGGTGAGAGGAAGGTTCCCTCCTCTGGGGGAACTACCAGTTAAGAGCCCGCTTGGGCACCTGGCCAGGGCAGGCACGCAGCCCCCAGGCTCAGGGAGGTCTGCCCACCAAGGGGACTTCTGGCCCAGATTCCTCAGTCTTCTGCTGTCCAACCTGCTCTGCTCTGTACAACTCAGAGGTCTTGAGGTCAAATTCTTCAGAAAAAGAAAGTTCCAGAGAGTTTGTTTTCTTTTTCCCCATAAAATAAGTTATTTTCTCAGGAATTCCTTGGCAGTCCAGTGGTTTAGACTCTGCACTTTCACTGCTAAGGACCTGGGTTCAATCCCTGCTTGAGGAACTAAGATCCTGCAAGCCTCGTGGGGTAGCCAAAAAAATGGGGTGCATTCTCTTAAATCGGCCCAACCAAGTACCCAAAGGAGCAGCGGGTGTCAGGACCACGGGCGCTTACGCACTCTCTGGAAGACTGCGGGCAACGGGTCTCCTGGCAGGCCCCTCCATAAGGCGCCCGTCCTTCTCTCTTCCCTCTGCCTGCTGCTGCTCCCCAACACCTTGGAGATCACGCTTGGTCCCCGCTTTCAGACTGAAGAACCTCCCCGTCCTCCCATCTGTAAACAGCACTGCTCTCTCTACGGCTGGCGCCAGTGACCAGAACAAGCACGCCTGTAACTGACTCCCTGTGACACTTCAGCGAGTCTCGGCCCTCTCTGCACACGGGAACAGACACAGAACTCAGGCTACAGGGCGGCTGCTTTACAGTCCAGCTGGCCACCCGGCCTCTTTCACTAGGCTTGTCCTTTAGTTGCTAGTTTGAAAGCAATAAGGAACTTTTTTGATAAGGAAATGAATTCATAGTAAGTTTGTCAAACCTAAATTTGATTCAAAAAGAATGCGTCTCACCCCACCTCCATATTTGAAATATAGGGAAGAGGGCACTCTAGAAGTTAAGAAAAAACTAAACCTACTCACTCTCAAGTGACTTCCTTTGACCAAACAAAGGTGGGCACATTTCACTACAACACCTTAAGTGAAAGTCGCTCAGTCCTGTCCAACTCTTTGTGACCCCATGGACAGTCCATGGCATTCTCTAGGCCAGAATACTGGAGTGGGCAGCTGCTCCTTCTCCAGGGGATCTTCCCAACCTAAGGCTCGAACCCAGGTCTCCTGCATTACAGGCAGATTCTTGACCAACTGAGCCACCAGGGAAGCCCATAATACCTTGAGCAAGAAATTTTTTTCTTCTAATAATCCTACAAATACATTATTTCCTTTACTAATTAAATATTTCTCAATTTTAAAATACCAATCTTTATAAACCTGCCGAGAACAAAGTCACCTGCAGTAAGGAGACCCCCTCACCGCAGGGCACAATACCCTGCTCCCTCATTACGTCTTCTCTCATGTCATGCAAAATTTAAGAAACTTATTGGGGTAAAAAAAAGGAAATAAGCAGAAACACTTGGGGAGAATGCTTCCTGACGTCCTCGAATGCATAAGATAGACTGGTTAACAAAATCTAGATAAATATTGTTTAAAATTTTTTAATGGTTCTGGTTCTCTCAGGCTAATTATAAAAGATTTGTTTAGTACAACTTTTTGCTTCACTCTTTTTTTTTTCCGATAGAAGGCTCATACAAAAAAAAATGTGGGTGTGGACTCGCTCGTGCTCAGTGGCTCAGCTGTGGCCAGCTCTTTGCAACCCCGCAGACTGCAGCCCGCCAGGCTCCTCGGGACAGCAGGGACCCGAGCCTCTCAGGGAGTGCGCTAACAGGTCGTGGCGGGTGGGCGGGCGTGGGTGTGGACTCGCTCGTGCTCAGTTGCTCAGCTGTGGCCAGCTCTTTGCAACCCCGCAGACTGCAGTCCGCCAGGCTCCTCGGTCCATGGGACTGCTCAGGCAGGAAGACTGGAGTGGGTTGCATTTCCTCCTCCAGGGGACCTTCCCGACCCAGATCTCAGCTGCATCTCCCGCACTGGCTGGTGTCACCCGGGAAGCCCGTGGCTTCGTGGGTGTGGGGCTGGAAGACTACAAACGCAGGAGAGCGAAGGAGGGGCAGGCAGAGAGGCCTCACGGCGCCCTGGGCCCCAGACCCGATGAGAGGGAAGAGGCGGTCTCTGACAGGAAGGCCTTGGCAGCGAGGGCTCCCCGCCCTGCCACCCTGAGGCTCACACACTCCAGGCTCAGTGACAGCCCGCCTGCGAACCGGAGCTCACACAGCCCCACCGCCGCTACCTGCTCCCGCCCCCACAACTCCAGCGGGCAACCATGCCCCTCAGCTCAGTGGGCTTCTCCCCTCCGAGCCTGTCTTAGATCCTGACGGATGCAGGCAGAAAAACAAGAGCAGAAATGGAAGGGTGGGAGAAGTAGAGAGAAGGCAAAAAAAAAAAAAAAAAAACCCCAATAGGCAAAAATATGACTTGCTTATAGAGCCTTTTCCTCCCCAGTGCTAAAATGCAGGGTTCCCCATGAGTTACAGTTAAGCTTATTTCAAGTCAAAAACTGAAACTGACCATAAATAACAAAACGTCTGTTCTGAGACACAAGATATGAAGCACACACTTATAAATCAGTGCACAGCGACCTCATCTATGCAAGACAACTACGGAAAGAGCTGAAAAACAATTAGCAAGATTTCCGCTTCCATTAATGACAGTTCAAATATCCTTATTTAATTCACCCTGTCACTGAACTACCTATATTTGCCATCTGTTGCACTGAATGTCTATATATGTGTCAGCCATAAGTACACACTTTCTATGGATCAGCAGTTTTATGTAAATTATCTCAAAACAACACAGTGAAACAGGTATTATTAGCTCCAAGTGGTGCAGGCAGTGAATGGCTGAGCTGGGCGGGGGGCGGTGGCGGGGGTGGAAGGACCCAGATCATTGGGGCCTATCAAGAGCATCCTTTCTGCTACGGCAGGATGCGGCACCAGAAATACTGCAAGGTCTTCACTATCTAAACTGTAATTGGTTGGAATTTTTTCCCTTTTTCAAAATTTTCACAATGAGTCTCAAGCTGAGCAAGTTTCTACCAACAATGTGAAAAAGGAATACCCTCTGTCAAAGAGGCCTGTCCAAAGACAAAATTCCAGGAGTCTCTCGGGTAAAGATCGATCATTGTTATTCCCACAACACAAAAGGCATCTTCGGGTTTCTTCTTTTTTAAGAACGTCAGGATCTGCCCTATTAAAAAAAAAAAGTATGTTTAAGATATATTTATGTGTGTGTGTGTACATATACCTATACATTTTACTCAATTCAAGTTGTAAGGCTATCCAGCTCACCTGCATGAATCTGAAGGTTCCGTGTGCTATCATTGATTCTAAAGGAACATCTGGTTGCAGAGACAGGAATCGGCTCTAGGAGTTTGACTGTCAACCCGTAGAAGAAGGCTTCACAGTAGCCCTTGAGCCATTTCAAATATTCCTCACTGATACTTCTGGTGTTTCCCAGCAATCCTACGACAGATACAGAAGAAAATTTAAAGAGAGATTTTGAGATGATCAGAACAGTCTTTACCTCAGTCTACAGTTAGAAATGTGGAATTAGGAACAAATCAACTCTAAATTTTCAATACATATTTGCCATTCACTCAGGTGACCAGGGATTAGAAAGAAAACCTGGCTCCTTGGTGGCTCAATGGTAAGGAACCTGCCTGCCAACGCAGGAGACACAGGTTCGATCCCTGGTCTGGGAAGATCCCCCAGGCCTCGGAGCAACTAAGCCCATGCGCCACAACTACTGGGCCTGTGCTCGGTAGCTCGGGAGCAGACAGCTGAGCCCGTGTGCTGCAACTACCGAGGCTCGCCTGGCCTAGAGCCCATGTTCTCCAACAGGGCACCACAAGGAGAAACCCATGCACTGCCACTAGAGTAGGCCCTGCTTGCTCCAGCTAGAGAAAGCCAATGTGCAGCTGTGAAGAGCCAGCACAGCCCATAAATAAATAAAATTTTTGAAAAAAACAAAACCTTCTTTCTCAAGGCAGTTTGGTTACCAAACTTCCACTGTGGGAACGAATGTCAAAAATGATTATAAAAACTTCCCTCTTGAATGAGAAGTACAAGGCAAACTGTCCATGGCAACAACACCATCACAAGCCCAAACCAAACCCAGCATATTGGCAAGACGCACCAATGCACTGTATGTAAATCGTCTGCTTCCCTGGAGAAGGGCTCTTTCTGTGAAGATCACTGAAAAACTCTTCAAAGTCTTGGGGAGCCTCAGGATGGGAGATGATCCAGTCTGACGGTGAATGCAAAGTAATGGGTCCAAAGAGATCGCTGTCTGGCCTGAAGGCCTCATTCAGCAAGCGCTGCTCCCCGGGGTCCAACTGCTCATACTGCTTCACAAGCTCTGGGTTCTTTGAGATGAGGGCCGTCTTCAGGGTGTGTTCAGAGTGCCGTACTGTTTGCATCTGCCAGAAGGACACACGTGGTCACATGGAAAATGCATATCCAAACTGGGGTCTTTACAGACATCATTTATTTCCCCCTAGAACGGAATGACTGATTGCTAATGCCTGGGCGTCATCACCAGAGAACTGCCTGCTTTCACCGTTTCTAATCAGTTTCTTAGGGGGACTTCCCTGGTGGTCCAGTGGTTAAAAATCTGACTTGCAACGCAGGAGATGCAGGTTCCATACCAAGTCAGGCATGAGATCCCACATGCCTCGGGGCAACTAAGCCTGTGAGCCACAACTAGAGTCTATGAGGCGCAATGAAAGATCTCAGGGGTCGTAAGGAAGATATTGTGTGATGTGACTAGAACCCAACAGCAGCCAAACTAAAAAAAAAAAAAAAAAGTCAATTTCCTGGGGAGGGTATCTGAAAGAGTGGAAAGACAATCATATGATTCCTTCCTCCACCTCTTAGGGAACCTGCTCCCACTATAACGTTCGTGGTCACCCTAAGACACGACCCGATTCCCTATCTCCTTGACTTTTGGGTAATAATGATATTATGAGCTGACTCATGAGAGCCACATGAAACACATTCTTTCCCAAGTGTCTCAAAGACGTTCCCGACCAAAGGGAAGTGCAATTCATGTTAAGTCCTGAGTTTCTGTAACTTGGCTGCAGGTTGACAAGGGATCTCGGCCACTGAGGTGGTGTCACCCTGGGGAAGCCGTCAGGGGACCGACCAGGAGCCAGACTCACACTGACAGGCCTCTTTCGCTCACGCGGCGTCCCCGCCTAGAGAGGTCATCCCTCCGTGTGACGGGCTCACAGCTGCTCCCCGAGGGGTCTGGGTGAGGGAAGAAGAGAAACGGGACGTCAGCGTGCGGAGCCCGCCGCTGCAGTTTAATGATGGGGAGGAGGGGAGATTTTTAGCTAATGGCTGTCCTCGTTGACAGCTGAACTCCGGGGTCCAGGGCCACCTCCAGAACGAAGCTCTCTCTCAGCAGGGCTCGCCTGGGAGCAGAGAAGGGTCCTCACCGCTGCTGTGGGGCCCAGTCCCGTCCGGTCAGCCCACCTTCACCGGCGGGGCGGCTCCCGCCGCGGCCCCGCCTCAGCGGGCCGGCCAGTCTGCGCCTGCGCGGGAGCCACCACCCTGATGGGGAAAACGGCGGCGTCAGGGATCGGAGGTCGCATCCGGAGGCCCGGCCGGGCCCGGCTCCCCCGAGACGCCCCCGCGCACCAGCTTCCGCCGCGGCGGCAGTTCCTCTCACACCCTACCCCGCCCCTCGGCCACAAGTGTCCCCCTCCTCCACCAGCAGGCGACCCGGCCCCAGATCCCTCCCGACACCCTCACCCAGCCAGGCGTCAACGCCTCCCGCCCCCGGCGGCGGCCCCAGGCGCGTGCGCATTGCGCCCTGCGCCCCCATTCGCGCACCGCCACGCCCCCGAGCTCCCTGCTCCGCACGCCGTAGCACGCACGCTCCGTCGCCCCGCCCCTTCGCGCACTGCCACGCCCCCGCGCTCCCCGCATGCAATGTCGTAGCACGCACTCTCCGCCGCCCCGCCCCTGCGCGCGAGGCCGTACGGCGGGCGCGGAGCTCGAGTCGTAGTGGCTGCTGTGCCCGCGAGAGAGGCGAGGGGGCGACCAGTCGCCGAGATCAGCCCCGCGCTCCCCTTTACGCGCTGCCGTCCGGGGGCGCCGCTGTCCGACCACGCCTGAGCCGCGGGGCCAGCTGCTCGTGCGCTTGCCGGGCGGGCCGTGGGTGCGAGCGGCTCCCCTGGAGTCGCGAGTCCGCGGGTGGACGCGCGGCCGGGCTGGCCGGCGGCGACCCGGGCCGGGCTTCTCTTTCCCCGGACGCGCCCCTTGGTGGGACTTCAGCCCCGCGGCCTCTGAGTGCAGAACGAAAGGGGCAGCTCCGATCCCGAGGGCCTGGGCAGGCTCCCCGGCCCAGCCCGGTGCTGCCCTTTCGCGCGGATGCTGTGCTGGCCGAGCCCGAGTGCTGCCCAGGAGACGGCCTGGCCGCATCCCCTCCCCGGCCCTTCCCCTTCGACATGGGGGTCTCCTGTCGGCCTCCTCCTCCCTCCTCTCTGACAGGCTCCCTTCCCTCTCCCTCCAGTTTGTGCTGCGTTCGCAGTCCCTCTGTCCTGGCAGCTTCCTACTGGGAAGCCCGGGGAACACCTAACCCTTTATAACCGTTTCCCTAAACCTTTTCTTATACTTGTCCTAAAGGGGCGCCCGACTCCCCGCACCTAACCTGAGACATCCTTGCTGCCCCTCTTCCCTCCCCCACCCCCGCTTCCCTGGTAAAGAATCTGCCTGCAGTGCAGGAGACCCTGGTTCGATTCCTGGGTCCTGGGTCGGGAAGATGCGCTGGAGAAGGGATAGGCTACCCACTCCAGTATTCTTGGGCATCCCTTGTGGCTCAACTGGTAAAGAATCCACCTGCAATGCGGGAGACCTGGGTTGGAAAGATCCCCTGGAGAAGGAAAAGGCTACCTACTCC